CAGCAATACCGGATATTCCTAGCCGGTCACCCATGCAAGTACTAACTCGGCCCGACGAAGTTTAACTTCGGTGATCGGACGAGAACCGGTGCATCCTACGTGGTATATTCGCTGATGCTTGATGATGTCATTGTTTTAAAAAAAACAATTACGTGGGTTTACTGCATAAAATTGGTGAATCCAGTTAATGAATGGCTTTTTAATCGTCTTGCAAATTTAAAAGAAATAAGCCCATTAGAAGAGACGATAGCTCAGTTATACCATTTCCAAAATTTGTAGCTTATATATTTTTTCCGATTCCATATTCCAAACAAGGGGTGTGCGATAGACTTACCTCCACGTGGTGCACCCTGGGCAACGTATACTCATACGGCAAAAAAGTCTATTGATTGGCAGTTGACTTCTCACTTCAAATTTCCATGACCCCACTGTATGTCATATTCGACTACCTTCACAGTACTCATCCCACCTTTTTTCACCTAATCTACCTTCGTCTTTGATACACTCTTCTGCCCTCCTCTTGAATTTTTTATACTTTGATGTTCCTTCCCCTCTGTGAAGCCTGAAGTCAACTAAAGGGCTAATGATAACTATCAAAACGCCTGCCATTTGATCTAATATTCCAAACAAAATGAAAATTGCCTGTTAAACAGGAAAATACGTAAGCAGTATGGCTTACTAGTGTGGCAGACGAATTTAAAGTAAATACTCTTCTTCCATCAATTGACCAGTCAAATATCGGTATCACATTTTGTATTGGGAGAATTTTGTTTGTTAATCTCCCTCCCCTTCTCCCAAGATTATATATTTTTCTCCAATTTTCCTACTCAAAGTGTCATGTGATTAACTGTGCTAGCATCAAAATTTGTGGGTATATTTCTTATTTGACCAATGACTGAGTAGTTCCAAAATTTTAATATCTTATTGCTCTTCCTTTCTTTTGCCTTTCTCGTAAATCTCCATTCATCACTCATGTGATTACTACAAGGGGGTCTATTGTAAGCTTCTTACAGGTTCTTATAATGTTGGGTGGTGGGAAATTTATAATATATTTTGAATAGCTCGTGGTTTGCTATCTCTCTTTCTGAAGGCACGCACCATGGCAACTGGATTCGCATTCTCCTTTGTGGAGTCAAGTAGGCTAGCTTTAGGGCTTTCGATAGAGGACACCCGTGAATTCGTCTCCCATGTGTTGACTTGGCTATGCAAGACCACCATTGAAATTGTTCAACCAGTTAGCCAATCACTTCTTCGATATCTGTTAATGAAAAGGAAATTCGTTTGCCAAATACATGTACTATTGTTTGATCTTCGAGTATTATTTTTCCTTTCTCTACCATCAGTATGAATTTTTTAGCTCCAGAAAATGGTCCACTACGTAAGTTTCTGGAAATTTAACTCTAATTCAAACTATAATTAGAAATAGGATATGGAGAATATTTAATGGTAAAATTAATACAAACATTTAGCGATTATACTCTGTTGGTAGTCATTAGGGTGACATGGTTGAACGCGACTCCATTATAGCGTTACTTGATATAATGAAAGAATAGGAATTGTAATCTGAGCTTTTTAATTTTAAGCATTTTTGCACATAAAATGCGTGTATATAGTTCTTTATTTTGTAAGACAAATTGTAAGATAGCGCAAATTCATCTTTAAAACCTCAATAAATTACTGCAAAAAATGGTTATACTCAATCCCTCAATAATGACTTAGTTACATAGATGTCATTATGTATTCAACCTCAACTGTCAGCGATCTTTCACTTCGTCAATAATTGAAATTTTATTTGATCTTACTTCAGATCGAATAGTAAATACCTATTGGTTAACCATGTTTGTCTCAATTCACTAGCGATAGAAGTGATGTAAGCCGAGGTTTTTAAGACTTTGGGTACGAAGTCAAGACAAACAAGTTTACCTCGTTTGTGGCTTGAGTTAAAGCCGACTTTATTCCTAGTCCATCATTAAAGCGGTAACATTAAAGCGAGTTGTATTTGGTCGCAAATCTTGGCCAAAATTTGATAAATTGATGCTAAAATGATATGCAATGTTTCAAACACAGGGATTATGGCATCATGTGCTATTTACAAATTCATAAAACGTAAAAAGGTAAGACGTGTAACTCATGCCTTAAGGCCTTTTTAGCCAATAGTGATTCCTACTGAAAGTTAGCTTTAGATAAACTAAATAAAAATACATAATTTTAACAAAAAAATAATTGAAAATTCGATATTACTTATTTAATAACGTCGCATTTTAGTTCAATGTGCTTAATTGTAGGTTGGAGCGGATCGCTACACGATTAAACCTCGACTTAGCCTCTGCAGTCCCCATGGCAAGATCGACTCAACAACAATTTGAGAAAATACGTTTGTTTGGACTGCCTGTTACGGTGATTTTCATTAAGATACAAATATTTATTTATTTATATCAAATGGCAGGCGTCTTGATGGTTATCATTAGCCCTTCAGTTGACTTCAGGCTTCACAGAGGGGAAGGAACATCAAATTGAAAAAAGTCGAGAGGGGGGGGGGAACAGAAGAGTGTTTCAAAGATGTAAGAGACAAACATAAAGGTAGAAAAAAGGTGAGGAGAGTACTGTGGAAATAGTCGAATATGACATACAGTGAGGTGATGGTAGTTTGAAGTGAGAAGTCAACTGCCAGTAAATAGACTTTTTGCCGTATGAGTATACGTTGCCCAGAGTGCACCACGTGGAGGTAAGTCTATCGCACACCCCAGATACAAATATAAATTTGCCAAATTGTGCAAGGACTATTGATTTGTGTCTGGCTGAGGCGTGTGCGTTCACGATGTACTTCCCCCTTATGAGGCAGGTAGTAGTACGGCCGCAACTTTAAGCCTGTCTGAGTGCGTCTGTGAATTCTTTCCTCAGGCACCCCACAGGGCATTCGCTTTGCATAAGTATGGGGTAAAGTTGACCTTTAAAGCAAGCGCGTTTTAAACTGCCTGTTGGTTTTTGCAGACTATTTGTATTTACAAGTTCTCACGATTTCCGCAATAGCGTAGACAAAGAGGCCTTCGGTTTCACGACAAACACTGGCCGCCTCTATTCTTCCAAAATTGTTTGAAAAAGTAACGGCATAAATATTTTTTTGTCCTCAAAAATGAGCCTAAAATGTCTCCTTTTTTCAAACAGATCTACGAGCGCCCTTGATCCAAATTCCATCAAAGATACCTCAAAATGTCCGGTGGTAAATTTTTTTTCGAAGGCGTATCTGTTGAGATGCCAATTAAACGAAGCTAACAAATAAGTCAGAAAGTGTGCGCATGTGGCGAGTCAAACGCTTTCTGAAGAATCTTCCTTGCTTTGACCTTCAAACAGCACTTGACCTCCCAGCCCATCGGGTCCAAGCAATGATCAATCTTGAAATCTGGTAGAAATGATTAGAGGAAAAATTAAATATACCACCTAAGGCGACCGGAAGAAAAAGGGTTGCGCTTTTATTGCCTCAGTCATAACTCTTCCATCATCCACCTTGACGACCCATGCACTGGTTTGTCATGTTATATCAAAATAGTGAGACAATGGTGGCTTGATTGCATCTTTCCGTTTTATATGCCAAATGATTTAATTATTAAAATGTTTTTTTTTTACTGGGACGCGACGAAGACACGAGAGCGTACTTGAATTTCACTAGCTTTGCATAAACAAGTTCTCTGCACCAATCACACCGCTGTGAATAGGAGATTTTCATTTTACTATACATTGAGTTTAATACGGTTCTAACTATCTTGCATTGTATGAAATGAGTTTTCATAATTTTGTTTGAGGCTGATGATCCTAAGAAAGTTTCAACTTCTCCAACGCCTGCCCGCAAAACCAAGACAAGTAACAGATAGACGATCTAGTAGAACTAATCAATTGGAATATTAATGTACAAGGAAGCAAAGGGAGAGGGAACTTGAAAGTGATTTCAACCTTCTGCCGAAGATTCCGATCGCATAGGAAGACGGCGAGTTCTCTGAGAAGCAGCCGCAAAGCCCCTAGCCCAAGAGGGAACAACTTTTCCGTGGATACGCCATCGTCCATACTCATCTGTTATATAGTTCTCAAACACCACATACTCCAACACGTCCACCGGACTTGTTGGATGACCAAACAGCAGCCGGCCGAACCGATCGTAGATAGCTAGAGTCTTAAAAAGGGATATAAATGTTAATATAAAAAGGCAGTAGAAATAAAGAAAAGGAAGTACCAATCCTAATTACGCGAACCGATAGGGTTACATAGGTTCGCCTGCTTCAAACCAATTTATGACTGAAAATAGATGCCTGATTCTTGATAATAATTTTTGAAAATCCACATTTTGTACCAATTTCTCATTCGATGGCTTCCAGAACTTGGATTCCGGTGGAATAAGAATAGCCAATCACGCTGATGGGAAAAAAATGATTTATTTTGAATTTGTAAGCCAATTAGGCTGCGGGACGCTATCTTCATTGAGTGGAACTGCTACTCCACTTTCTAGAAGCTAATCACTTTTTGAAGAAAAAGCAGTATCCAAATTAGAGCGTGAGGAGTACAAATTGATTAACATTACTTGCCTCTGAGATTCAGCCTAGGTTAATAATAATACGAGAATGGTTTTTTGAAAACAAGCCACAAAGTTTATAAAAACAGACAATTTGGACCCAAAACCTCCGAAATTGAATAAAAAATTACACCTACCGATCGGGGTGTACGAATGTTCATTTTTTTGAAATAAGTACACGAAAGAACACGCAGTGCAAAATATCCGACCGGCTGTTTGGTCAACAGTGTTCGAGTTGCAGTTTGAACAATAACTTCTAATTAAAGAGAAAGTGTAAAGATACACAGTTTAATTACCCCCCCCCCCTCACTCCTCATTTTTTACCATTTCAATCACAGTAGATAAAACAAACTAGTCTAAATTTATTAGACTATTTCTAGAACGATCCGAGTATGTGATGGCAGTCAACAATCGACATAAACAAATAGTACCAAAAAACCGTTAAAAAATCAATTTCCTGCATTAATAGTGCCCAAGAAACACACAGTTAGTGTAGCTACAATAGTACCCACAGACTTTGACGACATTACCACATATTTTCACGACCCGATGTAGACACAATTAAGACGTAGTTTACGAAATAAAATTTTAACTAAAGGAAAATACAAGAATGGAAGTGTAAAGGAAAAACTAAAGAGCGAAAAATGCCACCCAAATTATTGATCACTTTAACGAGAGTTGATTTCCGATAAAATTCAATGCAGACCATTCGTACTGAATCAATCGACATGACGTGGATGAGAAACCTGCTTATAGTTTTTTTTTGTTCGACAGAAGACACGACTATCACCCCATTTGTGCACCACTAGCGTCTGCGACCAATAGGGATAATATATTCCTTTTTTCGATAACCAGTTGTAGTTTTTGAACGTTTCTCCAATTTTGTACCTTGAGCGCCTCGATTTTCTGATTGAAAACGGTGGGATTTGGCTCCAGTCTTAGATCTGCCTGGGGTAGGGTTGTTTACATTATCCTCCTCAGTTCTTGAACGTCTCTGCTGGGAAGCACGATGTGTGCTCCGTCTTTCCGATCTGCTACGCGGGGATTGCTTTTCTGGTTTAAAACAATGCTTACCACTGGGACATCGCTCGGTAAGGTTGGGGTAATCCAAATAATAGCTTGGAGATTCATTTCGTTTGTTTTTCATGTGGCAAAAGACTCGGTTATTACCATGTGAATACCATTGGTGTCTTCGACCAATAGGTTGAGGCCCATCTGCCTTGCCTTCGCCTGTATTCTTATTCCCAGTATTGGTATTTCTACGATTTCTGGACCTTTCAACAGAGTCAAGCAGACCAACTGACTTCATTTCAGAATTCTCTTCAGGTTTAAGGTCACACGCACCATTTGGGCATCTGTCTGTAATACTTAAGTAATCAAGGTAGTACATTGGAGAATCCTCGGTTTCGTCTTTCATGTGGCAGTAGATACGGTTCTCACCAAAAGTGTACCACTGATGCTTTCGACCGGTCGGCTGATGTAGATTACTCGTAGCTTTGCGTTTAGTCGAGCGACGTTGCGATTGAAGTTCTTGCATTATTTCATCAGTACGCATGGATTTAGGTCTGCACTTACTTGGAGCAAGTTCAGGTGGAAATTGGTCGCAATCAACATCCTCACTCGAAGAAGAAGAATCTTCTTCACATAGATTAGGATTTGGTGGACACTTCACATCAGGACAACGGTCCTCTATTAATGACAAATCCTGAGTTGCATCTGATTGACAATCATTGGGGTACCGAATTGAAATCGTCACAGAAATAGAGTTTGGTGGATCACACGACTTTGGCCTACTTGGAGAACGTCGTTCTCGTGGTGAGCATACTTCTGAAGTGTTCCTTCCCTTGCCATTCCGCATAGATGCTTTATTGGGACTTCCAGAAGCATCATCTGATGAATTCGAATGACCGGCAGGGAGTTTTCCGAAACCGGCCTCTGGCATATCTTTGTTGTGGTTGAAGGAGTGTTTAGGAGGAATGGAGGTCTTAGCCTTGACCATCATTTTGTCATATTCACGTTCTTCCTGTTTATTCACTGCTCCGACATCAACTGACACTTGAATATCAGTTTCGGGATTAGGATTTTCTTCTGACAGATTTTGGGAAGAAAGCTCAGGATCGTTTCCATTCATTTCTGCAGACAAGCGGAACTTCTTTGAAATTAATGGATTTCGATGATCATCCGGTCACCCCTACTCTGACTCGTGATCTGATCAATAAATCAGAAACACACGTGAATACTAGGCCCAGATCAACTGATCCCTGCTACAACCCCTGTCGGTTTAAAAATAAGTGTGTGGTTTATTTTGTATCTTAGCTAGTTTTTTTACTTAAACCGAAACCTTAAAAATGGACATGATCTTTTATCCTTTTTTGCGGCATATCTCTAAAAAACCAGGCTTGGTGCAAATTTTGATTTTAAATAAGTAGGTGAAAAAAAACTCCAAAGATCGTTAATCTAAGAGTTGTCATTATTACGATTAGTGAAACTACTCATTTGAAAATCACAGGTGCTCGACTTAAAGACTTAGACGACAAACATCAAGCTCAACTCTTTAGATAGGACAATTGAAACGTTAATCAATGGCTGAAGCATCTGCATTTCCTACACAAAGCAAATTTGCCCATGTAAGAAAGAGATAGTGGTTTCCGTGACCAGATAAACTACGTTTACTCAAATTGAGTTGACATTGGATAAGGAAATAAGCAACTCTCATAAGCCTTGTATAAGCTAATCGGTTCAAGCCGCCAATCTGATTGGGTAGACTTTGGGGTTAAAAGGGATTAAAAAGCGCTTCTGAAGACATACCACAAGGAAATTAAGGGAGAAAAGCAAATGAGCCCAGTAAAAGAACCATAACCCCGAATGCTCTTCTTTCTCATGCTCTCATAATAATCGGAATGGCAGTATAGAGACCGCATCAAAGCGGGTGAGTTAAGACCGTAGAACTGTTCTGCTACTGATAAAATGGTAGTAGTAATCGAATCGAAAGCCACTAAGGCATAAGCCAACTATAAATGGACTGACACGTAGTTGGAGGAAATAGAACTACGATAAGGAGAAATATGAGGATGAAAGAAGGGCGAAAAAACATAACTGGGATATAAATTCTGATCACAGAATTTTACCAATTTCACCCAGAATATTAAAGAGCATTCGATTTAATCCGACATCACTTACAAAATAGATCTATGGGGTGAGGTGGGGAGATGGAAGCCAGTATAAGATTCTTAACCTTCTCTATATAGTCCAACCTTAATGTTGAAGAGCAATTCTCTATTAACCGGCAGTTGACTTCTAACTTCAAGCTACCATGACCCCACTGTATGTCATATTCCACAACTTCCACAGTACTCACCTAACCTTTTCTCTGCCTTTGGGTCTGTCTATCTCTTTTACCCCTCTCGAATTTTCTCACTTTGATGTTCC